GATAATTCTGCTTTTTCTTTTTCATCTCTCTCTCACAACCAGAGGCAGCTTGTGCTTCTTTTGGGAGTCCAGCTCTTAACCAGTGACCTAAATTTCTTAGTCAAATTGGTCCTCCCTTATCTATTTATTATTAATAAATTAATAGATTCTTCAATTTTTTCTTTCGGGCCTTTCTACATCTCCTTTTCCTCCCTTTATACTGACAGCTAGCTATCATCATCTCTTAACAGATTAATAAAATATGTACTTTTAACATGCTTTGTTTAACATGGGCCCCTCCAAATAGATATATTTTACTTCAGTAATTTAGAGAGATTAAAATCACTATCCAGTGGCTCATTCTAAAATTTTAAGTCTCTTTAGATTTACTTTTTGCAATGATTTCATCCTCGAATATGAAAATCCATTGCATTTCACCGTTAAATGTTAAGAAGTACAACTTCTCAATTTATGACTTTTCCCATAAGGGTGAGAACCTGAGTTTCTAGAAATTATTCCAGTGAAGTTAGTCACAGAATTAACCAAAATCATTCATTCATCTTGTGGTTTTAGGAGGTTTTAACATATTTTAAAAATACTGATGTACCAAGATACATGAAATCTTATTTGCTCATAAAACATAACATCAATTGCCTTTTAGAATAAATAATATTTAACAAGGAGAAAAAGGTGAAATCAGTTGCCACCACTGAGAGAGGTAAATAGTTTGGTATTAATGTACTCTGAGTCACCACAAAAAAAATTCTCATTATATGTATTTCCTGAAATCTTCCCTTGGTCATCATGCTCTTTTGAAAAGTTCTAGTCAAGGAATTAGCAGAAGATTTTGAATCTCACTCAGGATAGTGTTTCTTAGATAGTTTTTTTAGATTCAATAGTTTGACTTAATTTTCAGGCCCATTCAGACGATCAGCCTAGCTAACTTTCCTCATACTAACTCTCTGGCTGAATAAACTGGCTCAGCAAACAGCCTTGAAATGGGACACCAAACTTTTTCTGTGAGTTCTTCTTTCTCTCCCTTCTTTGTCCTTTATTCACAGAGTCTGCCTTTGTCCTTTTCTGGTTCCTTCCTTTTTGACACACAGCCTATACTTCTTAAACTGTAAGCTCCATGAAGGTAGGGACCATGTCTGTCTCCATTTTTGCTTTGTCTGTATTGCCTAAATATATAATAAATAGTGGTTAGATAAGTAATAAAGTTGGTAGATTAAATCTGGAATAAAATTAACATAGATGCTTATAGTGATCAAAGGGTTCTGAATCCCACAATATGAATATCACATTTCCTAATTACAGACTATTTATATGTAAAGTCTTTCCAAGAAAAAGTTAATTGTGCTTAATTACACATAGATAAAATCATCTTTTTGCTTAAAAAGAAAATTATGTGGAAGTGGGGCTGGAAGAAAATACGGTTCCTTCACATAAGATGAATCCAGTCTTGAAGTCAAGTAGAGTGCATTGAATTGGAATGAGAACTATCTCTGTTCTCTGCTTGGTAAGTGTTTTCTTCTCTTCCTCAAACATTTCAAGAAATAAGAGGATCCTTAGGCTGAGTCATTTTGAAATACATGGTCCATTTTCCTCACTTTAGTTTATTTAGTGCCTTAGTCCTTTCTGTTGAGTTTACAGGTCAAAGCCAGGGTTTTGTTGGAGTACAGTGACTTCTTAACCATTTCACTAAAAGCTACTGTTCTGTTTGAATGGCTAGAGAACTGTGGGGCAATCCATCTTCATTCCTAAGATCATTTAGTTGGCAAATTCTAAACTATTAGCAAAAATGTTATTGTTTTAAAAGGTAAATGTTAAAAGGAATATGGTTAAGTTAGATTTCCTAATATAATTACCATTCATCATTTAAGTCAATTAATTAGTTAACTGAATTACTTTACTTGTATACTGAGGTTGAAAAAAATGTAAGCACAATATCTGTGAAGTCTACAATAATTATAAGTTGTTCTCTTTCCGTGTATAAGAAAGTACACTTCCTTATGAGGCATCCCTGTCCACCTCCAGGCGGGTGGGAAACTTAATATTCCAATTGGAAGTGTCCCCATTTCTGCCAATTTGGAAAAGCCTTTTTGTCTAGTTTTTAGCTCTGTACTTTTGGATACATATTGAATCAAATTAAATGTTCAAACTTCTTACCAGAACTGTTATTTCTTTTCAAGGATATACCCTTCCTTTCCCCTGCCTCAATGTGGTTTCTGGGCATAGATGAAAGTTCAATAAACCATATACCACTGGGAAAAAGGGTTCATGGTCTATATGTGGTACTTGTCCTTGACCCTCAAAGATCTCTAAGGATGTGCTCTTCTCCTCTTTAGATACTGGGCAACCTGCTGATACCTGTTCACCTCCAGCTGAGAAGTAAGTTATCCTTTCTGCTCTCTAGGGTTTAGCCTTCCTAAACCTCTGAAGAAAAGCCTACAATTAGCACAACTCACAGTTTTTTTTCTTGGCCTATGCTGGGCCTATTTGTCTCTGTGCCACCTCTCCACCCCTGGCTCTATGTTGGCTCTCACTATGCTGCAAACCCTGAGTTTTAGGCATATAATTCATCTAGCCACTGGCTCAGGCTACCCAAACCACAGCCTCTGGTATTTTGAAGATCTCATTTCTCTCTCTAAATAAAAAAGCCTCAGATTTCTAGACTGTTGCTTCACTACAGTCTAAATATTAGGGCATATTTGAGGCTCTAAACAATGAATTCTTGGTTTCAGCTGGAATGACTCCATCTGTCCTTCCCCTAAAGTGATGAGACTCATTGATTCAATCACTGAGGACACATAGAGAATTGTGATTTAAGGGGAAAGAAAAAACTTGATTGAGACCAGAAAATTTGACAAAACAACTAACAAAATCAGGATAAAATATGTATATATATATATATATATTTTTTTTTTTTTCCAGACGTGCAGACTCAGCGGCCATGGCTCACGGGCCCAGCCGCTCCACGGCATGTGAGATCTTCCCAGACCGGGGCATGAACCTGTGTCCCCTGCATCAGCATGCAGACTCTCAACCACTGCACCACCAGGGAAGCCCAGGATAAAATATTTTAAAAAAATCTTTTGGAACATATCACTGACCTAGCAATAAAGCAAGACATACTAGAGACCCAGAGAGGTAAACAGAGTGCTGAAGCTGGATCTTATCTTGAGGAAATTTCCCAAACCCAGCAAACTTCTGTTTCCATGGTCTTGAGGGGAAGGGTGCAGAAGACAAATTTCAAGGCCCAGCCAAGGTGGGAATTCTAACAGGAGACCCTCTCCTCTCATAAAACAAGAACCACAAAAGGATAAATTTCATTGAAAAGGCAAGCCAGAGACAATAACTCTCAGTGGTTGCAAGTAAAATAGACCAACTCAAACATTTTCTCTGTGTAGAAGAAAAAATAATCTTCATTGAGAATTCATACCATGGGCTGACCTCACTTGCAGTTTAAAGCATATTAGATAAAGATGAAGAGAAAATTAATAATCTGAAAGAACTGTCTCAAAATATGATCCAAAAATACATCATAAAGAGGCAAGGAAATGGAAAATATAAAAGAGAGGTTAAGAGACAAGAAGGTCAAAATGAGAAGGTCTAGCATACACCTAATCAGAGTTTTCTATAAAGAACAGAGGGGATAAGAGAGATAATACTTGAAGAGATAATGGGTGATAATTTTTCAGAAATGATGCAAGATATCAATCCACAGATTCAAGAACCTTGAGCAGGAAAAATAAAAAAACTGAAGAGACCCAAAGAAAAGAGAAGATTTTAAAAGCAGTCAGGGAGAAAAGACAGATTACCTTCAAAAGAAGAATATTCAGAATTATAGCTGACTCCTCAAAAACAGCAAAGTCAGTGATGTTATCTTCAGTTTGCTAAGTGAAAATACCCTATGTGAATGAGGGCAAAATAAAAGACTAAGTTCACTTAGTAAAAGTAAAAATAAATTTTTAAGTAATCTAAGATAAGTAAAAACTGTTTGCTACCAAAAACTAAAAGAAGGGTATACTAGGCAAAAGGAAAGTAACCCCAGCTGGAAGGACTGAGATATAACAAGGACTTAAAAGAAGAAAGAGAAAAAATTAGGAGTAAATCTAAATTAAAATTAACCACATATAACAATGTTAATATCTTGTGGAAATTTTTTTAAGATAAGAATAAAATAGATGACAATAAGTGTATAAGTTACAAATCAGACAACTGATGTTAAAGCGTTCTAATGTTCTCAATTATTTAAGATAAGAGTAAGTATATTTGTTAACTTTAGATTTTGATCATTTACATATGCAAGCTAAAATGTTCAAAGTAATAACAAAAAAAATGGAAATAGAGGATATAATTTCCAATCTAGCAAATGGTAAAAATACAAGAAAAAATTAACCTAAAAGAATATAAGAATGGTGAAAAATGAAACAGAGAGAAAAGCAGATAATAATCCAAATATATATGTCATTACAATAGATAGAAAAGACTAAATCCCTTGGTTTAGAAATGAAGATTGTCTGACCATTTTTAAAAATTAACTATACGCTGATTACTGGAGAGTCCCCCTAAAACAGAAGAGTATACAAATATAAAACGTAAAAGGATAGAAAGAAGATATATAAGGCAAATAACAACAACAAAAAAAGCTGATATATTTCTATTCGTATTGGATAACTGAAAATTTTACTAGAGCTAGAGAGAGTCTACATAATGATAAAAGTTTCAATTCATCAGGGTGATATAATATTTCTAAACATGTGTGTGTCTAGAACTAAATTTCAAAATATATAAAGCAAAATATGACAGACTAGAAGAAGAAATAAATTCCATACCCATTCCATATTGGATGACTTAAATGCATCTTTCTAATTAATTGATAGAACAACAGCATCAATTGATCACTTGCACCTAACAACTGCAAATCAAAAACTTCATGGAAATTTTCACACACATTGACCACATACTGGGACTTAAAATAAGGCTCAACAACGATGTCTTATACTAAGCAGTACAACCTCATTAAGTTGGCCACTGGGAAGGACTGGCCACATGTAGGTAAGCTTATTCCAGAGCGGATTTTCAACTCTGGAATGTTTCCACTGGCCTGGCTTACCAGTCCCTTCATGTTTTATGGCCCACCTAAAACAAAATAAAAGACAAAAAGGAATTTAGCAAGGTTAAATATCACTTTAAAATATTCATTGAGTACTTCTTATTAGGTAGGCAAAAACTCAGTTTGAATTAAAAACCCAAATCTGATAATTTACTGTGTACAAGAGACATAAATAAAAGTAATTTTTAATGAAAGAATACATTTTTAAAAATTGGGATAATAGACAGTGGAATTTGAGGCAGAAGGCAAAGTAGAATAACAGTCAATTTATAATAACAATGACATAAATAACAATACTAACAGAAAAAAAATCAAGCAAAACTTTTTAGACATTTAAAGAGAAACCAACATATATATAATCCCTGTGGGAGACGTCATTACATCACCAACAGATTATGAACTACTTGGTAAATTTTTAAAAATTTTTATTGGAGTATAGTTGATTTACAATGTTGTGTTAGTTTCAGGTGTACAGCAAAGTGAATCGGTTATACATATACCCACTCTTTTTTAGATTCTTTTCCCATATAGACCATTTCAGAGTATTGAGTAGAGTTACCTGTGCTATACCGTAGGTCCTTATTAGTTATTTTTTTTACATATAGTAGTGTGTATATGTCAATGTCCCAATCTCCCAATTAATCCCCCCTTCCCTGCTTACCCCCTTGTACCGCTTATATGAGGAATCTAAAAAGCTGGTACAAATGAACTTATTTACAAAACAGAAATAGAGTCACAGATGTAGGTAACTTTTTTTAAGTAACAAGTAAGGACATAAAATACTTGACTGCTAAAACTAGTAAATGGAAGCATGACCATTTACTTATAGACATTTTAGTCTGTTAACAGAAAATGTGTCTTTCTCAATAATTCTTGAAACATTGTAATATTTCCACACACTAACAAATTAAACTTCAATACAGTTTTAAAATAAAAATTGAACAAGTTACACTTTGAGACAAATGACACAAAATTAGATATAAATGAAAGTTTTAATTTCACAATTTCAACCACAAGACAATTTTAAAAATACATTCTCTCTCCCAAAATACTATTATACCAGACTAGGGGAAAAAAATGACATGATCAGTACCTATTTAGCAAGCAATGAAAATAATAGTCATGAAAACTTAAAGAATACATTTAGAATTATATTGAAAGATAAATTTATAATGTTAAATGCTTATTTATTAAGAGCTAAACAGAGAAGGGAAATTAATAAAGCATTCAACTCAATTTATTTTAAATATATCTCATGGAAAACAGATGAAAGTAGTAAAGACTCAAATATAAATAAAGAATTAGAAAATATTTAGACTATTAGTAGAACGTTTAAAGAAATGTTTTTGAAATGAAAAGTAAAATAGCAAATCTCATGCAAATAAATTTAGACTAAAAAATATACAAGCCAAATAGAAAAATCAAACAAAATATTTTGCATAGAGAAGATTAAAAGAGTATATTATGCATGTATATGTTAATAAATGCACAACTTTTGAAGAAATAATTTTTGAAAACCCTTAAAGATTTGAAATAGAAAGTATGCTCTTGCTCATATAAGTTCACAGGACATGGAACAGATCATTTTCGTACTATACAAAACATTCTAAACCATAAAGATATAGAAACTAGCTAATTCATTCCATGAATGGGAGATAAGCTTCATAATAAAGTCAGTCACTGGTAATTTAAGAAGTAAATCAACAATCTTACTTAAAATCAAAGATGTGAAATTCCTAAATCAGTATTAGCCAATAAAATTTAACATTATGGAAAGAGAATAATCACTATAGCTAAGTAATAGTCATCCTAGAAATGAAATGATGGACATTTATTAATATAATAAATCACTGATTAATGAATAAGAATAGAGAAGCAGCCCATCACCCATAATTTTCTAGCACACGTGATGGTCATCTGAGCCTAAAAGTTTTCTGAGCTTGCCCAGGCTCATCAGAACCATTTGCAATATCCAACCCTCTGTACAAGGGCCCAGGTGTCCCAAAAGCTTGCTGGAAGTTCTTGGGGCCTGGATATTGTGGGGTGGTGGCAGGAGAGACTTGCTCTTTACCAACCTAGAACCTGACCTCCTGCTACCGTAGAGCTGTTCGTGCTCCGATCTAAGGCCAACACTTCTGCTTGTTGGCTAGATCCTTATCCTCTCTCATCTAGGACTTTGTTCCCACCCTGAACTAATAATTTTCCTGCCTTTCTGGTCATTCCATCTGCATAATGTCTGAAAGCTTGATATCTTAAAAAAAAAAAAAAAAAGAACTTTCTCTATACCCCACTGTCCACCTCCAGCTGTTGCTTTATTTCTTTGTGTTCCCTTACAGCAAATTCCGTAAAACACTCATCTCCTCTTCTTCTCCTCTCTTTTTTCTCTTAAACCAATTCCAACTAGATTTTTTAGAGATCTCAGAAGAAACTCCAGTGAAAATGCCCCATCAGGGTTTTAACATCACTAAAGCCAAAGGTCATTTCTCAAGACATAACTGAACTAACATCAGGGTCTAACATGATCATTCCCTCCTTTTAAAAACACTTTCTTCATTTGACCTGACTTCATTTGACTTCCATGAAACTACTTTCTCCTGCTTTCCTCCCATTAGTAGCCAAAATTGTTAGTCTCCTCTTGTGTGCCATAGGGTGGGAACTATAGCCTATGAAAAATCCAGGGCCTGCCACATCAATAGAGTTTTTAGATGTCCACTGGTCTGATGCGTGTAGGGCGATTACCATAAGGTAAAGGACAGGTTATTGATGAAAAGAGTCATCCTTCTGAATGAGATGCCTATGTAACTTCACCCCATCAGGGTGTCTTTAAAAGGAGCTGGTCAAGTTCAACATAACACTGTTAATAAACATTCACATACAGCAAAGGCCATTGGACTGCAGAGTTCCAGCACAGTGTGAGCTTTTATGTAAAAGCAATAGACCTCTTAATATGATGTTTTATAAATGAAAAACTGACAGACTCTTAACTATAATGGCACTAGCAGGCCCAGCTATAATGACTGTACACGTGCATAACATAAATTAGAACTTTACAGCATCATTAAGGACTTTGGAATCTTAATTCCTGAAAGTCAGCACTAGGTGGAGACAATGATTCGTGCAATGCTTTCAGGCAGGCTTTTTCTTGCCCCTCTGAGAACTTATTTTTATTTAATATTTTCCATTCGTTTCTTCAGTATGAAAGAAGGTGTTCTTAAATAATTGTCATTTATAATAGAAACACTATATAAAACAAAACATCTCATGTTTTGAAAAGACTTACTTGAACACACACATATATACACACATGCTACAAGGTAGCGAAATAAGTTTCAAAGGCAAGTTTGTTTATTTAAAACAGTATCTTTATTAACCCTGCCTTTCCATTAAAGGTAAAAATCTATTTATGATATTTCATGAGTATCTACCTTCATGGACAGAAGTATGACCAAAGTTAAAATATCTTCCTGGATTTACATAAACCTAAAAGATAAAAATGTTAGAGGATCATTCCTCAGCATTTCAGTTGACAGATATCTCTTCCCTCAAAAACTAAGTCCAGAATTGATCATATCAATTTAGTCTGATTAATGGAGTCATTAATCAGAATGCTCTATTCAATTAATCTTATAAAGGAATGGGAAACAAAAACACTTTAGATAATGTTTTCAGAGTCTAGTGCCTTTGACAGAACTTCAGCATTGTGACAGGCTCTGAGACATCATGCAGGACTGTATGCACTGTGACAGAAAAGTATTATTTTGCACTCTTGGAAATCAATAGTAATATAAAAAGAAACCTCAATGTGTCCCAGTTGAAGAGAAATAGTCTTTTTTCATATTCCATCAGGACACAATTACATTGTTTCCAACAATGTAATGAACATAGCAATAAAATATGATACAATATATAATTTGGATCTGATACTGTAAATTATAAATACTATGGCAAATTCCAACTTAAATCAGCAGTCTCTAATAAACATGCATGTAAAAATGACCAGATGCACATCCTACAACTGTCAAAGAAACTCTAACTCTTTGCTTTACACCAGGACCTGTTTATTTATTTAACTGGTCATTTTTCAGTTTTTAAGTTTATCTAAGCTGCAAGATTAGACCACTTAGAATTCATCTATAATTAATTTAAAATTGCATGGCTCCTCAGAAATAGTGAAAACACATTATTCATACAAAACAGTTATATGCTGCATACATGGATCTTGATAGAAATCAGTTTATAAGACTAACATTGGGTACCCCATCTCTGAAAAAAGAAAAGGATAGGAGAAAGAAATGGGCAGATTGCAAAAATGGTAAGAATAGTAGAATAACTACCTATTTTGATGGGATTTAATAATAGCCCAACACATTTCCATAGATTTGAACTATTTTGAAGTTTCTAAGAGTCTAGTCCTCTAGAGAGAGAAGAAATTATTTGAAATCAGGAACTACATATACAAGCTCATCTTAAACATTGTATAAGGGTTAAAAGATTAGATACATAACTAGAAATCTGAATCCATCCGTTATCAGTCTCTAGGCTTTTACTAGTATCATTGTATCAATATTTTAGGCTACATTAATCTTTCAATTTAGACTGAATATTAAAGCTAAATTTAATAGTTTAAGAAAATAATTATTTTAAGATTTAAATTTTAAATAACTTTAATAGAAACAAGGCACTGAAGACTGCAGTGTTTTTAATTTACAAGCCAAAATTTACAAAGATCAAGTAATTTCTGCATATTAAACATTATTCTACTTTTTTCCTAGAATATCTTGTAGAAACTAATAAATACACAGGGAATTTGTTCTTCTGTTTTATATATTCCCATTTGCTCCATCTCTTCACATTATTTTGATAACTAGGAAAGTACTTAAAACAGAGAATGAATTTTAATGGCAGCTAAAGGCTAAGAGGGGAACTCAGTGATCATGTTTCCATCTTGCAGAACTGGGAATTTTTAAGAATGAGAAATAGTTCCAACAATTATGCTGAAAAGAATACTTATTTCATAACAATTTCC